TTCATTCATTCATTTCATTCATTTCATTCAATTCATTCAGTTCATTCATTCATTTCATTCATTCATTTCATTCATTCATTTCATTCATTCATTTCATTCATTCATTTCATTCATTCATGTCATTCATTCAGTTCATTCATTCATTTCATTCATTTCATTCATTTCATTCATTCAGTTCATTCATTCATTTCATTCATTTCATTCATTTCATTCATTCATTCATTCATTCATTTCATTCATTCATTCGTTCATTCGTTCATTCAATCATTCATTCGTTCATTCCTTCATTCATTCATTCATTTTTGCAGATGATCACACAATGAGGCCATCTTCGAGATCATCCAGCGGGAAGATGCAAGGAATTTGCCATACTACCTGAAGGATGAGGAGTGGCCTTGTTTGGGCTTGTTTGGGGCTTCGAGGGCGCGGGTGAGGCCGGCCCAGGCTGTTTGTGCTTGGACTGCAAGGCATTCACGGCAAAGAAATAGCATCCCGCCAGCCAGCGGAAGCGAAGCCAAAGGATTGGTTCGGTCGCCCATGAATCACGGTGTGTCAGGACATGAAATTTTTCTGTGTTTTGTTCTCTGGCGCGCAATTGCAAGACGCTATAAGTGGCACTCCAGGCAAACCGCAACACTTGAGTATCAAGTTCATGACTGTCTGCAGAACTTGGATTTGTATGGATGTGACTGGATGTGTACCGTGACTCCGGTGGTGACGTCAGCTTTGTGGGAGGAGCTCGACTTCTTTATCATTGGCCTTGCGTTTGGAACCCCAATATTGCATGGATGCAACTGATGGACATTGCTCCTGAGAGGCGTTGCTTTTCAGGGGCGAGGGTGATGAAACCAGGATTCTTGGGTCTTTTCAAGCATTTCTTCGTCACTTCTTCTAAAAACTCTGGATTCAATCACCTGCATCTCTAGGGCACACAGACATTTGTATCCGGGTCTCCTCGGGGGCACTGGTGGCTGAAACGGACGAATGAGAGCACAGACTCAAACAGCGCAGAAGAAAGCCATCAGGGCCTATCTCTGCGCCATTGTGCTTCGCTTCGTCACGCTTCCGGGCCGGCAGGTGCGGCCCACATGCCAAGACCTACCTCCCGCAGCTGGTGGAAAGGGAGCGCGGAACTCTGCTTTCACACCTGACCTTTCGCACTGAAAAGGCGCACCATGACACCACCTGTTGCAACAACTTACAAGAAAAAAGGGCAGATAAAACACATACTGTAATCAAACCATCAAGGTGGCTCCATTGGTTCAAGGCAGATGACAACGAAGCACCAAAGTCGTTTTGTGAGTGTCGTTTTGTGAGTAACTGCACTTTGATCATAAGGGGCGCAATGTGATTCCCCCCCAGTGCCCATGACAGACCTGCTCGGTGCAGGACAAGAATCCCATTTATATTGCGCGGGGCTATGCACCTCCAACCTACTCCAGAGTGGCGCGGGGGCCCGGAGAGTTGAGAGGCTTTGAAGGAAGCTGGCCAGCTCGCTGGCCCCTACACCCCCGTGCAGTCTAGGGGGGACTTTTCGTTGCTTGTGGAGACTTCAGATCACATCTTGCATAGACGATCAATCAACCGCAGGCCATTGAAGAGCAATCAAAAGATATCAAAAGTAGCTCTCCGAAATCGAGCCAGCGAATGGCATACTCCAGACCGGTTGTGGGTTGAGAGTTGATTCTTTTTGAGATTGTTTCTGGGAGTGCGAAGCTCAAGCTTTCCAATCAATGTCAACTGGAGGTCAAGATCCGTTTCTATGGTCCGCAGCTGAGAATCACCGGCTGGATTTCGTTGAACAGCTCGGCAACAACTTGGGACTTGTCGATGAATGCACAACTTTCAGGACTTGTCTTGGTACTGAAGCTGATGAGCTCTTGGAAATCTTTCGGAGACCCAACTTGTGCAAACTTGCGGTAAATGTACATCCATGTTATAAGTTATAACATTGTACAACCATGTTGCACAGCCGCTGTATTTTGGCCTTCATCTCCAAGCTCTCCCAACTTCTCCAAGGTCCAGATCCACTCATGAAGGATGCAGGGTGCGGACCCTGATCCCGATGGATTTTGTGGATGCGACCCACTTTGGATTTACGGCCTTGTGGGGAAACACCACATTGGATGGGGCTGACCGATAGGGAAAAGGCCGACCGGAGTTCTCCGCGGTTCCGCCGATGTGTTGGCGTCGAGCTGCAGAGCTTAGGCCGAACTGGCCCTCAGGGAGCTCAGGCCTTGCTCCAGGGAAGACGTTTGTCAAGCCCAGCGGGTCGTTTGCTGCAGATCTAATTCATCGGTTCGCACATGTTTCCCGCTTGTCTGAAAGCCTACTGAGCTGTAGTGCTGAAAACTAGGGGACATGCAACCAATATGACGGCTTGTTGGCATTTCAGTATGTAACTGGCCAGCAGCGAATCTGTTCGATGCAGGCGTTCGATCACAGCCATCGGCACAAGCCAACCTGCCAGCCGTGAAGATTCCGTTTATATTGGGATGATGCGATATACTGTAATGCTTGTGCTTGCCATTTCTGACCACTACACACTACAAGTCTCAAAGATTCTGAAAACAAAAAACTTACATATTATGTATTCTTATGTGTGTACTATTTCAAAGTGAGTCTCTTCGACGCTTTCTCTTCTCTTGGAACGCAGGAGAGCTGATGGAGTACATCGTCGGTTGGCGGTGGCTCTACGCGTCATTTGGCCAGAAATGATTCGGATGCGAGTCGTTTGTCACAATGTGATACTCAACTACTAATTACTAAATTCCAAGGAGACCTACGGTCTACAAAAGAATGGCGAGAATGGGAATCACCAACTTTCACGGGTTGACAAAGGCTTTGGGTAGGATATCCCTGCTTGTCCTCCAGTGTTGTGGATTCCATTGTTTCTGAACATCACCAGAGGGACTTTCGCTGAGCAAAAAGTTGCTCTTGATTCTTCTACATTCTTCTTCCCACCTTTTCAAATCTTGGTATCGGGTCGACCGGACATTCTTCTATCATCTTCTATCTTGGGATGGTTGGGGGTTTCCAGTTCCCAGCATTGTGCTTTGCCGGACTGGCGGACACTTTCCCCAGAAAGTCTCTTTTTGGGTTCGCAGGAAACGGTTCGCAGATGTTCGCAGGATGTTTTTGGGGTTCCTCCCCCCGTTGCTCACCGGGTGACTGCCCTCGTCTCTGTCTCAGGTATTGGGATGGTCCCCTCGTGGATGAGGCCAGCAACGAGTTGGATGAACCAAAGGGCGGTTTTGGAAGAGTTCCATTGCTTCTCCGGACCAAAGCGAAGCTGCTTCAGGTGGAAAATGCGTGGAAGACTCCGCAGTGGCCCGATATTGCTCGAAGGGTTTCTGGGCTGCAGAGGTGTAGCAGTGTAGCAGAGGTGGACCTTCAATGATGCCGATCACGACCGTAACAGCAACTCCTACTCGGTCCTACTCCACCTAGTACGCCCACTGCTACGGCGTGCTATCAGGAAATATGTCGAAGACTGCGGTATGTTATTTGTATTTGTGTGATTTTGTATACCTTTCTGATCTATTAAATTATTGTTTTGCTTGTCAGTAAGATGTATTCGTTTATCCTCGATGGATCTCAATGGTGGTCTTTTGTATCGTTCCCATCGCTGATCACGACGCGCGGAACGCGCGGACTGCGACGCTCGGATCGTCAGGACTGGACGTGGGAAGGCCTTCGGATGGTCTCGCCGCCCTACTGGGCGCGAAGCTCGGTGCAGAAGCGACAGCCCCCCCTACCGGGAGGAAGAGGGTTTCAACACTTCAGGCGACTGAAGAGTTTCCATGGCGATTTCCGTGTTGTGGTCTGAGGAAAGGTTTCTTTACCTGGCAATGCTGAAAGGAAGCTGTATACTCTATGCATTTCATGGTTGATGACAGTTAAATTTACATTCATTTGCAAATACAGCATGAATCATCCTGCAACTAAGATGCTTCAATAGGCATGTTGGTCAAAGGGTGCATGTTGTTCCAACCGAAAGGGACTCTACAGGCGAACAAGACAAACGTACCAGTTGTTGATGAGCCAGCATCTAAGGCTTGATCCATCCCTGATCAAGTCTTACATCTGGATTGGCTATACATTTTGATATTTTAAGTCATGGGTTCGTTGGTGTTCTATGTCTCTTTGTCTATCCTATTGATTTACATCCATCCCAGACTCCCAAACTCATCTGCTGAGGTGCCAGAAGATGGGCGACCCTGGCGAGCACGCACGGAGGACGTGACAACACGTCATGCACGTGTTGGAGGTTTTGCGTGCTGGGTCATCCAGAATGTCATGTTCTAGCCCCAGATTGATCAGATTGCAGACTTTGCAATGCCAGTTGTTGGCAGAACCTGACCCAATCCCCTGTCATGCCAGGACGTCACCTTCGTAGCCAAAGGCCAGTGAAGTCTGCTTGCTTGGGCGGAGACATGTAACAAATAAGCTCAATGATGCTCATCAGCAACGGCTTTCAAGTCGGAGTTAAAGTTCCTATTATACAGGTTGGAGGCTATCGCTCTTAGGTTGCAGGCCATCGCTACTAGATGCTCAGCTCTCAATACATGGCTTTCAAGTCGGGATTGATATTCCCACGATGCTCAGCTCTCAAACAGGCATTCCTCAAGTTGGGTCGTATTAGATAAAGACGTGAGAAGTGTTAATGATCGTTTTATATTCTTTTTCGGCGTTGTCGTCGGCACATTGTTTGGAATCTGAGGAAAGGTATTCTCTAATTTTAGTGGAGGGGATATAACATAGGTTAATTCAATGCTGGATTTGAAAACGAATCCAACATATCATGAATTATGTTGCAATAAATCCCATTCAAATTCAATTCCCTAACATTCATCAAGATCGCATGCTGTAAGGCAAGGGCAAAAGCAAAAAAAAATCTATATAAATATTAAATAAATTAGTAATTTTTAAATATATATTGAATATATATATATATATCGAATATTTCATATAATGAATTTTATATTAATCATTTTAAATATTATTAAAATTATTAACGAACAATTTATGATGAAATTTATATTTATTTTTCGTAAAAGAATTAACTTAATATATATAAAGAATAGAAATAAATGGCAATTTTTCGATAGAGTCGGTGGGCGTGAATGGTTTTATATATTATAAATTAATAAATTGAAATTTTAATATTTTCATATTAAATTTGGTAATGTAATAACGATTCGTATTTATTTTTATTTTGATGTATTGTATAGATGTTTGTGGTTTTTCGGGGAAATACGACTTAGATTTTACGAAAGATTCGTAATTTATTTACATTTTCTTTTTTTTAATCGAGATTTTTAGTTTTAGGCTTTTAATATTCGTTAATATGTATTATTTTGTGTTGGTAATTGATATGAGGATTGGATTGGATTTAATTTAATATAATTTTTATATAGATTTTATAAATAATTTTTGATGGACGTTAAAGATTTTATTTTATATATATATTTAATGTTTATTCGATTAATATTTATTATTTAAATATTTTATTTGAATAATTAAATATTTTTAATAGATATGTTTTTGGGGATTTTCGATGTATAAATTCCGGTATTTTTATATTAATAATTTATGATAATATATAGTTAAGGATTTTATATATAATTTGAATTTTGTATGTATTTTTATTTTTTTATTTTTTGATGTTGTTATTGAAGATGTATTATTGTAGTTTTATTGAAAAAAAAATAAAGGAATTATTTTTAGTATTTTATCGTATTGTTATATTTATATTTTTTATATAATTTATATTTATATTTATACGTATATTTGGAATAAGAAGGGTGGGTATATATAAAACTTATGCGATATTTTTTTTTGCATAAAATGCAATTGATATTATAATACGAATTTATGCATTATATATTTAATATAATGGATATATATTACACCTTAATAATCTTCTGATATGGATGTCGAAGAAATACTTAAGGATGAGGATGAAGGAGAAGATTCGAAGGTATAATTAATTTAGTAATAATTTTAATAATAATTTATTGTGTTTTGGGATATGTAATGCAGGAATTTGGGTATTTTGAGATATGAAGCAATTTATTGTATTTTGAGGAATATAATGTTTAGGTTTCGGTTTGTTAGCCTTAGATCCCGGATATATAGAACGACGAATTTAAATATATATATATAAATTTAATTTATAAATATATATATATTAAATATATTGATTTATTATATTATTTTAAAATTGTTTAATATTTTAAATTAGAAAATATATTAAATATATATTAAATAAATATAAATATCTAAAATATAAATAAATATAAATATCTAAAATATTTATATTTATTTATATTAAATTATAAAAGATGGAAAGGAAATAGAAAAATAAAGATAACTAATATTAAAGATGGAAAGGATGAATATAATAGAAAATTATAATTATAATATGATTATATTTTATTTATCTAAATAATATTGAATTGAAATAATTATGAAATCGAGAATTAAAAAATATTATTTAAATAGATTGAATATTAAAGATCTATATATATATATAATTTGGACGAAATCGAAATTGACGCTTTTAATTACGAATTTGGATACAATTAGGAACTAGAACATTAGAAACACCCAATAATTGTACGCGATCGAACACTAGAATAATTTTAGAAAAAAATTGAACGAAATCGAACACTAGAAAAATCCAATAAATGGACGAAATCGACCACCAGATTTACTTCCAAGAAAGGATTTGAAAGGAACCTCCCGCCTTCTTTCGGCCTTTCCGGCCTCTCGGCCTCAATCCAGCCCTAGCCTAGTCACCAGCCCCACGAAAGGATTTGAAAGGAAGGGCCCAACCCACGGCAGGCCCCACGAAAGGATTTAGAAAGAAAGGCTTGCCTGGCCCAGCCAACCCAGAACCCAATCTGGGGGATATCCCAATATATAATGATTGATGATATTGATTTATTAATCTATAATACGATATTATATATATTTTTATTTGATATATATATATATTGTATTTGGATGATTTAAGATATGTTATTCATATTCAATATTGAAATTAATTAATCAGTCATGTTTTTTATGGAATATATTAACATATGAAAAATTAGGAATATATATTTAATGAATTTATTTTATGGAATGTTATTGACATATTGATGTTTAATTTTCATTATTTTATAAGATTTGGAATGGTGATTATGTTGAGATTTATGGCGTATATTACGGGTGATATTTCTTTGAATTAATAATATATTATTCTTATTGGATGATTTATTGTTATTTTAAGGTTTCGATTGAATTAACAATAATATTTGATAAGGATTGATGGCAATATAGATTTTATTATCAATATAAATCCTATTAATATATTTAATTTATGCAATTTGATGTCTGTGTTGCATTTGGCTTTTGTGCTGATGAATTTCTTAGGTATATCGGAAACGTCGTATATAAATGGAGAATTGTCGGACAGAAATGGAAATATTGTGGTTAAAATATATTGAATATTGTTATGTGATCTTTTTTCTTTATAAAATCTGGGCACTGGCCACCGTGGAGGACGGTCAAAATCCCATGATAATCATGACAATTGATTTCAAGGTCTGCCTAATCGTCGAAAATGGGCAATAGCATCTTAGATTGATCTAAAAAACGGAATTGCAAAATTTGGTGAGGAGGGTTGCAAATTTATTAATCTATAGGCGTGTTTGAATATATTTATTCATCAATATATATATCAATGGGGGATTAAAAAGGTATTTTGATGATTAAATCAAGGGAAATAATATCTAAATTAAAATAAATAAAAAATAATATATATTATTTTTGAATTATTGTAATATCTTTCGATATAATTATAAATTCATTCATTTTAATATACAAATTTAATTGTATCCATTTAAATTTCCTATTTATTTTAATTATAAAACATATTAAATATATTTGAATAATAATTATTATCATATATTTTAGAAAATATAAATTATATATATTATTAATATTTAATCCATACCTCGGAATAATAATTTTAATATACAATATTAAAATCAATCCCTTTCAAATAATGATTCCTTTTCAATTATAACTTGAGAGGAAGGAAACACGAAAGGTAGGACAACGGGAAGAGAAGAGAATACGAGAGACAGGAACATAAATGCAATGTTCGATATGGTGATTTATCCCCTCGGAAGCGACCTGTCGTAAATATGTTCATATATACTCTAAATAATCAAATATATGCTCTCGAAATATTCAAAAAAATTATGAAGAAAAGAAGTTTGCCCCATAGCTCAAATCATCAATAAATATTAAATCGAAACATCATAAGATTTAAACTATCCTAAAATCATCAGAGGCTCACGAAAACGTTTCCCAAGAGAATTAATGTGCTACTCAAAACAAAAATTCTAGGTATATATTGCTTCGGAGAATACCTTTCGTAATTACATATTCTTTCTAAATATTTAAATTTCAATTATCCCGAAATCATGAAAGGCTCACGAAGATGTTCTCCAAGAAAAAATTAAATTTAAAAAGGGGAAGATCTATATTTAAAAACAAAAAAAAAATCAATTCCAAGGGAAGCGGAGGAGAAGGGTTTATATTAAAAAATCAATTCGAAGAGGAAGGGCGAATTAAATGTTCAATTATTAGACCCACATTCGCCTCGCAAATCAAACTCAAAATATTCCCTAAAGGACTACCTTTCGTAATTTTATTCTATACACATATAAATCCTAAAATAAAAAATATCTAATATATAAATATATTTACCCAGAAAAATACCAATTTCCAAATAATTTTATTAAACAAATATAAATAAATAACTAACAAAATCCTATAAGATTTTATACTATCTAATTTTTCTATAAAATTAAATATCCAATATATAGATATATATATATATTCATATTATCTAAAAAACATATAAACCATCAAAATATACTATAACATCATTTCAATACACAAAACCAATTTTATAAGTTATAGAAATATCAATAAAATCTAAAACATATAATTAATATTTATACATATCTATATTAATAAAAAACATTATTTAAATATATATTTTCAAAACATTGCAATCCCCCAAGATTTTACAAAAAATATATTAATACCGATTATTTAATAGTTATATTATAAATATTTATTCATAATATAATAATTTTATTATTTGTTAGTCGCCACCATTTTTTCGTTCTCCCCTTCCAAATCCCATCCCATATTCCCTAATATTCATATCGTTCGCCCATCAAATTCTCCAGCTAACTTATCGGCTACGTTTCATAATTCATTTTATAATACGTAAAAATTAATTTGAAAGAGTTACTTTAAACCCATAATTGCACGAAAACATACGAAAATCCATCGGCCATATCTAATCACATCACAAAATCTCATAAAATCCACACTTTATGTAATTATTTATACTGAAAATTAACTATTGTAGATAAAATAAGTAAATTATATATATATATAATGTACAAATTCAATGCAAGAAAATAACATATACACGATGTTGATTTTCATGCATATTTATTTATGCACATTTTATTTTGCGGTGATTTCACACTATTCGTCATGAATTAAGCATTCCTTAAGAATTCTGACAGCTTGCAATATTCCTGCCTTTGATCTGCACATTTATTGCAAATGAATCAACAGGAAAGAACAATTGACCATAGGAATAGGAAATACGATATTATACGATATTGGCTGTTTGTACTTGTTAGCAGTGCGAGGCAGGTACCTGAAACCACCTGGCCAATATGTGTTTGAGACAAGAGTGCCTTGTGCAAGGCGAGGCAAGGCGACGGAAGTCTTGTGATGTATGGAAGCCAAGAAATGCTGAGCTTACATTGGGGATAAAAATCATTGTCTTCCTCAGGTCAGGTGAACACGATTCAGGAAGCTACATGGGGAACGGACTGCCGTCAGCAATAAAACATCTCGAGTTTCCACGGAATTGCCTAGCCTATCCTAGCCTCAGTTCGTCGCTGCTCAGTATCGCAAAAGGGTCAACGTCAAATCTTCATCCTGCAATGCTCCCTCTAAAGGAAGCTGACGTATCCAAATTGCAATTTGCAGTTTCACAAGGCCATGACAAGCTTCACTTGTACACTGCTTGTACTTGTATGAACGCATGGTTGCAAAAGCCTCCACAGATCGCTCACGTTCGCTGACGTTTGGGCCTGCTTCTTCAACTCGCCGAGCATCTCACCACCTTGGACGATTTGTGGCCAAGTCTGTGGCACCACAGCAGCCAACTGTCTTTGATGTCTTTTAGACTCCATCGGACCACCTTCGACTCCATCGGACCACCAGACCGAAGAACGGCTGCATTTGGTCTTGTTGGACGACGGTTCCTGGCAACAGCCGGGCTCCAACCGACCAACATGGTTGGGGAGGCATCCGGCAGTCTGCGGCCACGACCAAAAGAAGCGGGAGTGCCCTAACACCGTAAGGAATCCAAGAACTTGAACTTGAAAGACTAACATGGTCAGGCCATTCCCACTCATCATGTGTCCAAACTAGCGGGCTTGGCTTCTCACTTTCCTCCAATTGAGTTTGTGGAATGAAACGGTTACTTCATTGTAGCCCTCTCTAAAAACACGACGGAGTAACGAACGTGAAGTGTGGGACACTGTGTGGGACCATGTGGACCGGTCGCATCACCTTCCTGCTTCCTGCCATGTCACCCAGCATTCGTACACCGTTCACTTCGATGATGCGGTCTCCAACTTTCACCTGTGACGAATGCCGTTCCACAACGGCCATGTGGCCAACTGCGCCAACTGCGACACCAAAGATATCACAAAGACAGCAGCAACACACCGAATGACATGAAATCGATTTCCAAAGCAAAGCCAAGTTGACGATAACGTCAGGATTGTCTTGATTCCACTTGTCAAAGCGTCCTCCAAGGCTGCAACTGTGGTATGGGAATTCGGCAAGAAACAGTGCTTCTTCCATTCAAGCAGCAAAGATAAGGCTTCTTTAGGCACCAAGGTTCTGCGATTATTGCTCCAGAAAAGGGTGGTTTCCACGTTAATGAGTCGCAGTGTGGAGTGGGAGACCGTTGTGACCCTAAGCCAGAATGGCTGCAAAAAAAGGCAGAATTATGGCAGTCCTCCGTCCGCGATTTGGGCCAAACTAATCCTCAAGAACACTCGATCTCACAAACTGCAAGGCCACAACAAGGGGCGTCAAAGCACGAAGAAACACACGCAGTGGCACCAAGTCTAGTGATTTGAAGTGATTTGCGAATGCAACTAGTTATATACAAATACTTCAATGGAGCTGTGAACCTTCATCGGGAAGCAAAACCGAGCTCAACAGTAACAAGGCCACACTAGGAAACAAAACAACGCAACATGCAGCGGAATCAAACATGTCCCACAAATAGTGCTCCCTCTGGCATAACTCCAAACACCCAAAACACCATGCAGTAGATCCAGCGAGTTTTCTGCCCTGTTCGTTTTGAGTGCCCATCCAGCCAGGTGCAATCATCTCAAAAGACATTGGACAAGGAAGGAAGTTCTTGCAGCTTCGGCTCCCACGAGAGGATGGCTTGTAGTTCAACTGCGCACCTGAGTTTCTCCAAGTTCCCCAAAACAGCCCTTACAACGACGTTCCTCACTCTGAATAACAGACCACCCAAGGTTGGGTGTCCTGGATCAATGGCCCCATGAAACATCGGTCTTGGAAAGCCAGTCTGCTTGTGAAATGCTATCTGGGCCAAGCCACCGAGGCGAAGTGAAGACTTTTCCAAGATGATCTTGTACGGGGTAGGACGCGCCAAGGTCAAATGCAAACTCTTCTCCTGTAGTCACACGTGTGACACGTGAGTGTGCCGCCGATGACGGCAATTCAACGGCTGAAACTCCACAGCACTCAAGACTTTCCTCTGTTGCTTGACCTCCCCTGCGCATGACATCCAAGTAGTCCCCACATTTTACTTAGAGGATGAGATTGCTTGGGTAGCTGATATCATGGATGTTCTTGCTATTCAAACTTTGAATGTGGAAGGGAATGCGCAGCAAGGGGGTCGTTGGAGGCTGTACTAAAGCCGTGGCTTCCACACGTTCATGTCCAAACAAAACAATTGCATGTACATATATCGTATAGACAGGTGACAGGTATATAGAGAGGAGCTAACTCATTTGTTCTCTAAAATTAGCCGTTCCACCATCTCACGCCACTCTGAAACTTAGGGCAGGGCACATCAAAGCTTGTCTTGGAGCAGCGCACGAAGTGGGCCCGCCCGCCCCGCACATCATCTCACATCTCCATGAATGCTCTCGCTTGTGCACATAGGTATAGAATTTAGAATGATTACAGGGGGAGAAGGCTGGCAACAATGGCCATTGGTGAAATCAACATTCCCCCAGATTTCATCAAGCAACACATGCACCAAGCCGACGTCACATGCCCCAAGCCGGCAGTTTGGCGCTTTCAGCCTGGCCGAGGCTCTGAGGACTTCATCGCTGCCTTCAATGTTTCTAAGAGAAGCTTCTTGTCGCCAGTCTTTCCTTGGCGTGACCGCGCGGAGCGCGTAGGAGCTGTGCGGGGCTCGGTGTTGAAAGGGGATCACTCCAGCGCTTTCTTGGGTGGGAGACGCTCCATGCCACGTCGAACACCATTCCCATTGGACGCCCCTTTGGTCTCTCTCCAGAGTGTAGCGGCGCAGTCGCCCCACTAGGTGCACTAGGAGACTCTGACGGAATTAGGAGGAATGAGGCCGCATAAACCCAGGTGCCAGGCCATCCCGTCCTTTATCAGAAACCTTTTTTTCGATCCCTCCCACCCTTAAAACAGGGAAGCCCGGAGCCGGTCCCCTCCAGGCCCCAGAAGTCAGAGCAGCTCAAGTTTGACTTCCGGACACCTTCAGTAAGTAGTGTCAAATCTTGATTCATAAATAACCCCCCATGAAAAACCTCCTCAACATGTTTAGATTCTTTCTAGATACTTCTTGTTAAATCCAAAGTCCACATGACGGCCCCCGCGCCGTGCTGGGATCTGCGGCAGGCAGTGGTGTTTCCAACACTTGACCGAGGTGCCGTTCACTGCGGTGATGCAATCAAACGGCTTCATGGCTTTGGTCGGATTTTCCTGCCAAATGGCGGGACCTTTGCGGATCGATGTCGAATGTGGTTGCTGTATGTTTTTGGTTCTTGGCCAATGGTCTGAAGGAACCGGAGACTTGGTCGTTGGTTTTTTTGGGGGCAGTTCTTGGAAACCACAAGCTACATCTTTTCAGCGTTCTGACCAGCTTGTGGCCGGGACAGCTACTCTAAACCTGGTCGTCGACCTGCTTGCTTTACCTGAGAGACGCGTGGGCATGTTCTGTTCGTGTTGACTAACCAAGGTTCCCTGGCGCCACACGTTTCGATGACGCCAGCGGGCACGGCTGCGGCACGGCTGCACCACCCACTGCCGAACCACCCGGGTTCTACCGATCGTCGCCCTGTGCGCATCGGGGCATAGGCCCTGAAACAGTAAACGTGGAAAACGAAAGGCCCGGTTGGATGACAATTTTCCGCTTTCCTCTACGAACGGGTGGTTTTCATTGGTTTTCCGCGTTAGACTGAGAGCGTCATTGTCTCGTTCTTTTGTAAAGCAGCCGGCGACAGCACAGCCAACGACTTTCTGTAGAACAAGGATGTGCCCCCGTCCGTATTGAAGGTGTCAATCACGCCGCTGGTGATGGTCATGAGCATTGGGCCTGCGACTTGACATGACCAGAGTCCAAATGGGTCCAGAATGGTCCAGATGTGCCCAACACATGCAGCGAAAATTGGATGCTGGCCAGGCCAGTCGCGTTTCTGATCTGATGTGGACAGGAACCAGGTTCAACTTAACATGTATTGCAACTATGCAATTCTTGAAAGATCTTGAAAGTAAACTGGATTTAACTAGGCCAAATCTCATTCACCCGTTTGTTGCATCCTACGAGCTGGTTCAACCAACACCCATCTCCGCATCACAATTGACGGCCTCGATCGTCGACGTCATCCAATTCGACACCCAGGTGCCGTAAGTACATCTCTGGCAATCTCACATTCACCTACAACGCACTCAACTGACTGGTGCGATTCACCAGGAAAGCTACTAGGTGGAGGCCATCGCTATTAGGGTGGAGGCCATTCCTATTAGGTTCCTTGTGCTACTGGTAGCAAGAAGCTACTAGTAGTCTCGGGATCACTTTTCGAGCAGCCCCGGTCCGGTTCTCCACCCCACATGGTTCCGCTGAGACCACGGACTGCAGGAACCAGTATGTCCAACATCATGAGGACCGTGCCCAAAAGCCACAAAAAACCGTTTTGCTATACATATAACATAGTATAAGATCGTATAACTGATGAGGCAAGGACGTTTCGTGACAAAGGTGTCTCAAGTATGGTGTTGCTGTTGTATTCCCACAATGTCTGCTCCTTTTGAGAGCTGCCTGCATTGATTCTCAGCTCAGAATCGAAGCACACTTTTCTCTGTATCTTGCTGCTGTTTCTCTTCATGCATTTCTTGCATGCTACCACTCCTTCATCAAATTGCAAACATGTCTTTCACTTTTACACTTGGAGCAATGTTTCAGGTCAGATATGTATGTCGAAAAATCATAGCTTCTACTTGAGCTAGCCACTCCCGAAAAAAGGTTGTCTTCATTTACTGTAGCCTTGTGTTATTCATTGGGTTGGGGTGACCTAACTAAAATATTTGGAAGCGGGACACCGGTTGAACAAAACAATTGGGAACAACTATGAAAAACTGTATATGCACAGAAGGTCTAGGTATGTTTAACTGGCTACTTGAATATATAATTGGGACTTACTTGAGTCTGGTAGGGTTCTTAATCATGATCTTTCTGCATGGATTGTTGAGAACATCAACGGCAAGAGGTTGATTGATAGGTTGCTGCATCTGAATGACTCCTCCATTTGTGGATGTGCTTTCCACAAAGAAGAATCTAACATAGTCCAACGAAAAAGATCTATTAGATACTGCAATGAATGTCTGACCATCTAAAGGGGAAACTAAATGTTCGATGAAATATAGGGTTGGCAAACAAAACCACCTTTTGGGACTTCTATTGAATATGGCTCAGAAAGGCCCAAGAATCAGCAACAACTTCACAACATACATGTGTCACGAATGGCAAAAACAATCACATCAAGTTGCTGAAGCTGTTCACTGACCCTGTCCAGCTGGCATCACTGACCTGCGCTGAACAGCCAAGTCACCGTGAAGGATCCTTTCTTGTCATTCATCCTCAGGTTCTCATCGGTGAACGAGAGCCGTCAGGAAAGAACCGCTGCAAGGAGGCATAACTTCTACCTACTTGTTCAATCTTATTCATGCTCAGCCAGTCTCAGTAGGCTGGACCTGAAACGCTGCTTCAATTTCTGTTTCTTTACATCTTGAAGGATGGCATGGCCATGGCGCGCTCAAGGTCGGCTCATCCATGGCATAGGGGGGCGCTGAAGAACATGCACATAAGTGTCTGACATCTTTCACAGGGACCAACTACGGCATCCTGAACTCTGTGCTCGAAAGACGGGGCTTTGGCCACTTCTTGCGGGCCCCTCCTTGCCCACATAAGGCCAAATTAGAGATCCAAAACCCATGCTTCTTGGGAACTGGCCAAACCAGCACCTTTCGTCCAAGCATCTCCAGTGTGTTCTCGACAATCTCGTGCTTTTCGGTGTCATTGATCCTTAGCTGCCGAAGCTTCAAGACTTTAAGAAGAGATAGATGATTTGGTGAAAGTCGGCAATGTAGGCAGTAAGCTTAGATCTTCTACAGCACCTGCTTCAGGGCAAAGGAGCACACCAGCGCTTTGGGTTTAAACCCTCCCCAAGTGTATTCCACCTCTCTGTCACATGTGAAACGAATGGTCGCCCTACGTCGTGAACGAATGGTCGCTTCCAGGCTTCGCTGGCATGGTGTGGACAGCATCCATCCCAGTGCTCTCGCCCTTCTCGCAGCAGCAAAGGAAAAACATTGCTTCCAGCTGCAGGATCCGAGGAGGGGGGGCACGGGAAGACAAGTTCTGCCTTGGGGCCAAAATGTTGCAAATGTTAATACACACTTCAACCTGTTTTGGTTTTGCTTCAGCTTCTCCAACGAGTCAACCGGGCATTGTTGCAACATATAGTGCAGGTCAACCTTTGCGATGGATTGCTGCTAGACCGCTACACGCTCCGCTTACTAGGTGATGTTTCGAGCATTCTACTCTTCTTTTTTTTACTTCATCGTTATTATGCATACATATATATATATACAATACTCTAGATGCTTCTCAACGTGCAAGCCCTATACAGGCCCGCCAGTGAGTGTTTCACGCTTGTTATCGCTTGAACAGGATTTACTTTTTGAAAGACTACATCCATGCGGACCGAGTGAAGCACATCTAGTCTCTGAGTTCTCTAAATTGCCTTGGTGCGACTGCGGAAACTGGTCAGAACTATGAGTAAACATTGAGTAAACTATATATCAGGAAACATTCATTGCTTTGGGTTCTATTGATTGAGGAAGATCGATGTGCACAGCATAGCTCAGCACCCCTGGCCCTTTTTGGCTTCAGCTCCCCCAGAAGCGGGTCTACCCCGGTGTTCATCGCAGCGGGTCTACCCGGCGGTGCTCGGGTCGGATGCCGGTTCGCCCTGACGTGATGTCCTCCATCGAACGAACATGTGATGGTGGATTGAAGAGTAGATGGCACAGACCGCAAGAGGCGGTTTATAAATATGAACCCCATTGAACCCACATGTAACATGTCAAGGACATCTTGAGATCTGATGAGATCTGTGCACTCTGACACTACTTTAATGAAGGACTCTGAACAGACCACGCTCTGCGTTCACCAATTCTCGGACGGTCAGGCACCGCGGGCCCCTCGTCACAGCCTCGGTGGTTGCTGTTGGGATCGACACCGAGCCCTCAAGGGGCATCCAAATAAGCAAATCCACCCGACTCAACCCGAGGGAAAACCCATTTCCAGAACTCTGGAAATGCCGTGGACAACACGTGGGCTGTTCGGGCGCTCTGGGCCGGTGGGCAAACGAGTCCGTGAATGACATTTTGGATGGATCTTTAAGCGCTCAGCTTGATGCCCCAAGAAACCACAAGACATGCATTAAACCCATATCAATAACAACGAAGGCCCAAAAAGCGTGTGCAACATGAAATGCAATGCATCACAATCGACCCCCTTCTGCACTCATTCATCTCTCTCTGTCTCTATCTCATGGTATGACGTGCCTTCTGTGGCCGAAACTATGCTAAACTATAACCAGGTGTGTAGCACACTGGTCTGCCAAACTGCAAGCAACTGCAGTCCCCAAAGTTCCCATCCAAATCTGTTCCGCCATCCTGTACGCACCTCAGGATCCCAACTTCCGGCGTTTCTGGGACACCTGGAGAGCAACGGCACTAGAAAATTGACATTTACACAAAGTATCCTCTGTGGAATAACCGGTGGGGGTTGAGAACCCCATTTTATAGTGATAAATGACTGAACCAGGCTCTGGGAGCACAATGCCCCACTATAGAATCTAGCTTTCAACCCTTGTAGTGTACAGCATAGTTTCTCTATAGAATAAAGGGAGTCAACCTTTAAGGCACTAATGTAACAGAATTGTAGGCTCAAAATCTGAATTATCCAATAGAAACAGCCAGGGGTGGTCCTCATTCTATAGACAAGTGGGTGTAACATCAAGGCTGACATATTATTTTAGAGGAAAGTTACGCAGCAATGGCAAAAGAGGTTGGCATTTTATTCTATAGAAACATGATTGAACATTGCAAGGTTGAAATTCATTTTAATAAAAAAAATGGACAGAAAATGACACTCCAAAAACAAGATATGTCTATAGAGGTTGATATTCATTTTATAAGGGCAGGGTTGGACACTCACAGGTAGATTTTTTATTTTAGAAAGGTGGGCTGAATTTTGAACAAATATAGTTTTATAGTGGGCCAATATTCACCGGTTGTTCCACAGGAAATGTGGGAATGCATGCGCCAGATTGCACAAGAATGCGCCGGATATTTCGTGAAATCAGAATCTGAATCCAACCTGCCTCACTGTAAAGGCCAATATTCACCGGTTGTTCCACAGGAAATGTGGGAATGCATGCACCAGATTGCACAAGAATGCGCCGGATATTTCGTGAAATCAGAATCAGAATCCAACCTGCCTCACTGTAAAACATCCATCCACTCTAAAGTAAACTCTCAACCTTCTACTGTTCCAGGTTCCCTCTATAGAATCAAAACCATGTCCTCTATAAAATGCCCTCAATTGTCATAAATTCTTTGTATTTTCTATAAAATGAGGATGATCAACCTATTGGCCCATCAATATATGATTTTCTCACCTCAGAGATCCTCAGAGTGGATCTGTCTCAGGTAGGTTGGCATTTGATTCTAGAAAAAATCTCTATAAAATGCCAGGTCATTTTGGAGCTCGACCTCCCCCATTCTATAGGGGTTATTCGGCAGAGGGTCACAAAGTACTAGATGAGATGGCACACAAGTACTCTCAAGTTCTACTCTCTCTCTCTCTCTTGGTTGATGGCTAGCTTTACCTGCAGCGAAACACAACAAATCTATGCTGTCATCTAAATGCCCCTTGGTTCATGTCATGTTGTATCCACCCCTTTTTTCTCGGACTGCTCACTGGTTAGATTAACAAAGACTTGACTATTCGCCTGCCTGTGTTCCCACACATCGTTCACCATGAGAACGCTTGCTGTGCAGGCCACAGTAGCCCGTGCCCTGCCAACGCAGTCAATGGATCTTGCCCCTGGCAGCATGTAGATAAGCTACTGACGTGGTGTGAAATTGCACCTGACAGTACCTCACAATTCAAATCGAAAACTACAATTATATAGTTGGGAACAAAACCTTTCGGATAGGGACTGGTTTCTGTAGCTCACAAGACTTTCCGGTCAAACAGCCTGGCAACAGTCAAGGCTGCCCTCTTATGATACTATAGCTAGTTTTGTCTCATGATTCTTCAAGTGGTATGAGGGGGCCACTCTTTGCCCCAAAGAGCTGTAGAGAAAGAACCCCTAGGACTCTTGGTAGACGGATATAATGACATACAAAAAACAATATTCTCCATATTGATCATACCTCTCGGGTGGTATCTTTGTCACTGCCAAGCTGTCACCGGGATACAAGGCACAGGCCTCTTGGTGGCATGGCCGCGGACAGGGTCGGCCTTCATCAGAAGCTTGGCCTTTCGGAAGCTACACGGTCCATCGTCAAAATCCATGCATGGCCACCCATTCTTGGCAACCACGGTCTATGAGCTGATCAAATAAAGACGTGCAAATGAAGACGTATCACGCACCACTTGAGGCCCACGCTGCACCATTTTTGGATCTTTGAAAGTCAGGTCAGGACCAAGATTCCAAAAGACAAGGGACACGTCGGATATGCCACCCTGCAACTGTATGCTCGTTTTTGAGTTGTTTTCTTGTCTGTGGACTTTTTGTTGGTATTTACAAGTTTTAGACGTGTCTTTGCCGGTGCATCCAATTTCCCACGCTTTCCCAACAAATATGCTTGCGTCGAGCGTTTCGCTGCATTGACATGCTCATTTTTGTCAGGAGAGTAAGAAAAAAAGTTCGGAAAAGTGTTCTTGAAGGTCTGATGATAAGTGATCTGCGTGGTAGTAGGATATCGCCCGTAGCGGGCATTCCTGCGTACACTCCTGCAAAACAAAAAAGCAACAGAATAACCAAACCGAGTGAAACTCAATGGTACGTAGGCACTAAACGTGCCTGAACGTCAGCAGACCCAGTAAACGGTCAGAGCAAACAGTGGAACAAGGCAAGCTAACCGCAAGAAGCAACCCAAATACACCACAAAGTGGGGAGGAGAGGGTAACAAGGGGGCCCGCAGCCAACGGCGCCCCAGCACCCACAGCTCAGCCCCACCCCAAAACTGTCAGCAGAGCTGGAAGAGGGGGGAAGAGGAGGGAAACAAACAAACAGAAGAAACAGAGGGAAACCCACACAAGCGACCCAAAAGCAGCAACCCGAAACCCCAGAGGCAGAAACAACCGGGACGTTAGGCGAGGAAAACGAAGGACCACCATGTAGAACGGGAGCAATCCGGCCGGGAAACCGTAACGGCAGCAAGGGCAGCAAGCAGAGGCTTGAGGGACGGCCCCCTCAGCCAAACCAAACCAGGAGGGACGGCACCCTCTGGTAACAAGTCAGAGAGGGCAGCACCTCTCGACACCAAACAACTGCAAGTGGCAGCAAGCAATCGACACGACACAACGGCAAAAAATGTCCTTCAGGTACGTTGCCGGCGAGCTGGAGCCGATGGTGCGGAGTCGGACCCCTCCCGCTTGGGACTCCTACGCTTACCCTTCCCACCGCCTTTGTCGAGGCCAAGCCCTTGAAGAACTGCCCGAGCAGGCCCAGAGGGCATGTGTCGGGCAGGCCTCCAGCCCAACTCTTTGTCTCGACCTTGGAGCGGGCGCCATCGCTCATGCAGGAGGTTTTCCCGCAGCAGGAAAGCACTCTCCGAGTTCCGGAAGGTGACCACAATGGGCCAGGCGTCACTCTCCGGAGGCTCGCCATGGGAAATGGCTTCAACTGCCATTGGCAGCGCTTGAAGGGCTTCCAGATGGGTTGCCAGTTCCAAGGTCTCCCTCCCTGCTGTGGCCACGTAGGCCAGGAAGCGATTTGCCACCTGCTGTCGCCATGGAGTAGGCCTAACAGGAGGCCGATCGCCAGGGGCAAGCCGTGAAGTGGACTTCCATGAAGCCCAGGCTGTGGTAAGGTCCTGCTTGACTCCTCCTTTACAGAAAAAGACAAGGGAACGTTGTGCTGAAGCGCTGCCGATCCGATGTGCTGTTTGTAAGGCCAGGCGACCGGTGGAGTCGAGCAGACCATGCATCCGGTCCACCCGGTCAGCCAGCCGGTCCATGTCATCGCGAGAGACCCGGCCGCTTCCACCGCCACCAGCGTCACGACGATCATCGCGATGCGACGAGCGGCGAGCAGACATAGCATCGGGCGGGGTAGACACTAGAAAACCGGACCTAGACGTACACGTGAGCCTTGAGCCGGTGAAGGGAGAACATGTGCGGCGAAGTTAACCAAGGGGCCTCTGAGGGAGGACAATAGGGGCAATAACACGGTAACGCAACCTTAGACGCAGGGTGCACGTGGTTGACATGCATGCGCGCACTTGGTTTTCCCGGGAAGCAAGCGCCACAATCGCAGCAAATCACCGGAGAAGCGCCAGGCTGATGTAAGGGCAAGTGCTTGGTGAGGCCATCCTCAAGTTCAAACGTGCGGGGGCAGTGAGGGCAATTCCAAGTACGATCTCGGTACGTGCCCTGCTTATGGGATTTGGCAATATGCCAGGAGAGCCCGGTTTTAGTGGTAAACCTACGACCGCAACCCGGGAGCGGACACTCATGGGGGCCTTGACCGCCTTCCGGAGCCGGGCGTGCAGCCCAGTACTTATCAACGGCACGGTCGGTCAGAGCAGCGGCACGGTCGGGCGGAAGCACGGCGCGAAAGAAAGCGGGCGGGCGGGCTTGTTTGACCACCAGGCGGGAACGTTTCGAAGCAGGTGGAAGCGGGGAGACTGCGAGCGGTTCGGCGAAACGGTTGGCAGCTAGTTGTTGCGAGGAGAAAACAAGCATACGAAAAAGATGCAAATCGGCGCCGGTCGTGAAGAACTTGTCCCAGTCCGGACGAAGCGAGATGACCTGGTCAACCACGTCGGAGACGGGCAGCGAAAACCATTCGGGGCCAAAAGCCGAGGAAGCGACGGTATCGAGCTCTAGCCAAGGCGAGGTAGACGGGTCCAGGCTTTGTTCCCAACTGAGGAAACCGTCATGAGACGCAGCATAGCGTGCAAGTTCAGCGGAGGCCCGGGAGAGTTCCGCAACTCGCCCCTTAGCCTTGGTCGGAACAGGTGCCTTATGAATGGCGGCCAGCTCAGCGTCACGCACTGGCACGTCAGACCTCGGAACGGGGGGAAACGGGCGGAACCAGCAAGCAATCATACGAGTTGAGCGCTTCCAGGGGACGCCACCATCTTCGTTGGCAAGCTGCATCCAACCGGTAAGAGGAATGCCGGCAACTTTAAGACTGTCTGCGAACGCATCACGCAGCCTTTTGCCTCCCTGGAGGCCAGGGTCTCGGTGCACACCCACATCTTGGGGCAAGAAAGAGAACAAGGCTTGTTTGGGCAGTCGATCGTTGGGCATGCGGGCAAGATGCCCCATCCATCGGAGTCGAGCCTGATGAATTAAGGACATAATGGAGGGAACCCCGAGAAAACCTCGAATCTGGTCATTGGAGATACCCTTGGTCTGCTGATCCCAACGGCTGACCCTGCAAATTTTACGGAGGCACCGCATATGGAAGGCTTCCAAACGGAGGCGCATCTGAAACCAAACCGTCCAAGTTTCACACGCATACAGAAGTACTGAGAGGACGCAGGCACGGTAGACGCGAAGCTTAGTCTCTAATGAGAGCTGACGAACATCCCAAACAGAGGAAGCCAGCTTCCAAAACGACTTTCGCGCTTGGTCCAACCGATACAGGATTTCGGGCGTACAGGTAAGTTGCCAATCAATGTGGCTGCCTAGGTACCGAAAAGCATCTACAAAAACAACTGGCGGATCAGAGGTGGGAGGATCCTCAAGTGGGCCGGTGTGGTGGGACAATGAAGCGAACGCCTTGGTTTTACTTGCGGAAACCTGCAGGCCCCAGTGAATCATGTGGTCAGCGAAACGCGCGTGCGCGTGACATCCACAAGTTCAGCCAAGAATTATTTCATGATAATTGTTCTCAATTCGCAACACTTTGCAACTCAATGCGCCAGTTTCATTCACTCAAAATGACATGTGGGAAAGTGTTCTTCCTTCGACTTGAAGGTCGTTGTTGCCTCAATTGGTTGTTGGCATTTGCAGTAGATTTGGATGTTGCATAGAAGCAATTGTACTTGAAAACCACGTTGCAATACACAAAGGAAGACACAGTGAGGTACGTATAACTGCATACATTGCTACAAGCACGTCATTACCCCCGCACCGCACCCGACAACCGAACCATGACGTATGGGACAAGCGCAGGGGCGGCGTATCAGCCGCGGACCCCAAAAAACATATATAATAACATACATAAGGAAATCAATCAAATAAGGACACCAACAATCAAAAGGAACGGGGCTGAAAGTGGAAAACATGGGAAAACAATCAAAGAAACGGGCTGAAATGGGTCAAAAGGGGGAACGCTTCTCATTCGGCAATGCGTAAACATCTCAACCAACGGCCACCGGGGCCCCAAGCAATAAGTGAAGACCGGGCATCTGCCCAATTGGATCACCTGCGTTTCAAAGGTGACCCTTATGGCCTCAGGACGTGAGCGGAGAAAAGGGGTGACGTGATTGGGGGGATTGGACTGATTCTACCAAAAGGCAAATGGATTTGTGCGAAGGAGTGCAAATGAATTAACATATGGGAAAACACGAGCTGATCATGAAACAAAGATGGACAAAAATGGCCCAAAGGGAAAATCCTACATATTGGAGCTGAGCATGAAACTGGAAGCAGGCGTGCGGCATGGATCTTCTGCGCAGCTGAAATGAGACCATGCCCAAGGAATTTAAATGCCCCAGTGCCGTGCAAATGTCAGGGGCCAGAAGTTTGTCCTGAAACAAAACCAACCCATCCAAACCCTATCATCCGCTATCATCCCCATAGGATGGAACATTGACAAAAACATCCCGAGTAAGGATGGTTCAATATGATCCAAGTCCAAAACCAGGTTACCTGCTACGTGGAGCTACACACACGGGGAGCCACGTTTTGGCTCCAAACGGATTTCCCTGCATCAGCCGTTTCAGCCAGTCCACCCCACTTGCAGGGTGGAGCAGCTTCGTGTCACACAGGTGCACTTCGTCTCGGCTGACACCGGTACACTCTGCGTGAGAGGTCCATGATGGGCCCAGCCGGTCGGGTATGCCCCCCAAGTCTGATAGAGGAGTCCTCTTGAAGTCTGATAGAGTTAAAACCCGTTTCGAGGCTTCACTGAAAAACTTTTAGGCAACAACACGTGAGTGTCTTGGGAAACGGGTTGCCTTCAAACAAGATGGGAGCTTGGACTGAACCTACGCGGGGAGAGAATCATCAATCTAATATCATCTAATCTAACTTAACTGGCAAATCGAGATGCAACAAAAAGCTATATATATACATCCAATTGTAAGGACGCAAAGTCTGACAACACTTAAGTCATGAATTGATTTGTGGGGAGCGCGTGGGAAGACACCCAGCAATCGTAGCGAAAGCATGCGAATGTCATGGGAGGTACAGGAGGAGCCCTTACTCTGTCCCCCAATGTACTACAGGTTTGCACGCATGGCGACTCTTATGAGTGCCAAACTTGGGCTGGTCATGGACCCAAAAACACAGCGAGGGTTGACAGAGTTCGTCACCGTGTTCGCTGTGTGTTCGTCTGAGGCACGGCCAGCCGCACAAGACTAAAAACGCCGTGCAAAGCTTTCATTGGGGCAAAGCCATGAACAATTGCATGGAGTGCTGGATGGTCGTGCATATATATATATATAAATGAATGCAACATCAGAATGAGCCTTGACTGCGGTTTGGGGTCTGATCATGACCGGTATACCAAGTAAGTGAGAGCAAATGAAACTGTAGATATGGTAGGTCCTTTTATCTGTCTGCAATGAAGCCTCTGCACCATGGCAGTGCGATCTGGCTTGAGTGCGTCGCGCCCATCTCAATTATTGTGTAGAAAAAGGTTGGCTTTCCTCAGGCACAGGTTGACGGCATGGAGTGCCCACATCTACTGCACAACAGCAATACTGGCCGGGGAAAAGTTTTGCCGGTCGATTCTGTCTTCAGCAAGAAGCTTCCTCATTCGACCTCTGGACTGAGCAATGAGCCCGGAAGCTGGAGAGCGCTTTCTCATCCGAATTGAGGGTTGGGATGGGTTGAGCCCGAGGAAAGTATATACCAGGGTCATCCTGTCTGGGTGTCCAATAGACTACCCTACCCTACTTACAGGTCTCCAGACAGGGCACCCATTGGAAATGCTAGGTAGACTTATTGGAGAGTCCTTGTTCTTCCTTGTTCTTCCTGTCAGACCTGCTGCAACTGGAAAGCCAAGCAAGACACGCTCCGACCTGTCGCTACGGACACGAATCTCTTGTAGAATGATTGCCCCGAGTCTCCCGACACGGGTCGTTGATTTTTCCGGGAGGGCGAACAGCATGATGCTGTCACAGGTGCTTCACAACCAGCGCATTTTGAATGCGAGTGAAGTGTCAACTGCCCTCTCAGCACGGTTGAAGTGTCAACTTTTAAGGAGTCCCTCAAACACTCATGTCAACTGTCAATGCGGCGAGATGTGCTATCCACATTTGGAAAAAACATGTCGGAAAAATCTGCATCTCCGCGCTGCACTCCGATCACCCACGGCCACTGGCGAAAAAACGGCTCGCCATCAACTCGGCCAAGGTGCCTGGGAATCTGGGACTGCGAAAGTTGGAATGACAACATGTGCACCAACTTGGATAGCATCTTGAAACTTAAAACCCTGGAATGCACATCCGTGCTTGGTATTGGCCTTCTTTGCTCTGTATCAATCCCTCTCACATCTTTCACACTTCATGCCGGCCACTTGGACCATTTGGACCCCATACTAGGAACAAAAATGCAACAAAATTGGTCAACAGATTTCAACAGGTCTTTAAAAGAAGGAACAACTCAGCAGCCTCCAGCTGTGCAACTGCTCATGATGCTTCGTGGCTGCGCTGCCTGTGACACAGGGCAGGGGTGAACTCAAGCGGCCACTGAGCAGCGTGGTTCCAGCGTTCGGTTCGGTTCGGGTCAAGCTCGTGTGACATCGCAAGGGAACATTTTGACTCATCCTTACGCTACTCCGCTACTTCATGTATGTTCATGTATGTCCAGTAGGACATTCGTAAGAGCGCGTGGATGCACCTGGATACTCATGTGATGTATTTTTTTTTAAAAACTATACATTTTGTATGACCACTTATAGCCTTATTGTTTTTTACTCTTTATCGTTTTTCAATTTTTGGAACTCAGTATACATTCTCCTGTCGTTTTCCAGCTAACCACAGATGTCCTGGTCCACTGCAAAAAAAGTCGGTGTCTGTTATGTGCGTGCGCGCGTGCAAGTTTTAATGTGTTCAAAGAAAAATTGATTTTTCAATATTTCCTTCAAACAGGCTCCAAACATCAAGGAATGAACGAATATGACCAGCAAACTATCAACAAATAAAAAATTAACTAGCTACTTTTTGTGCACTTTTTCTCCTCTCCCCCTGTCTTTGTGT